TTAAGGACATCAAAACCTAAAATAAAACTCCAGAAAGGTGTACAATATGGGACCTTTAAGATAAATCCTTGTCTGTTCTGGATATTTAAAAATGTGCACTTATGATTGTAACATTTAAAACTAAATTCATATACAAGCATGAAATTACAAAACTGATGTACTACATTAAATGGGTCATCAGGAGGCCATGCCAAAAAATGTTATTGACTTGTTTCTGGCAATGATCTGATGATGGTGTGACATGAAAAATAATTAGAAGATTCGAGGTGTTTGCAGATGTTAATAGGTAATTATATTGATACAAACATATGTGCCTCTGGCTGCTCAAACTTGATTGGCTGTTTTAGGACGTTAGCACAAAAGAGAATTCACAACACTTTTTTTAGTTATACGCCACACCATATAGTACTGTTGTTCAAAATTGACAAAATTTGTTGTGTGCAAACATGCATAAAATATACAACATAATATTTAAAATATAACATTATATACACACACTAGTCACAATAATGAACATGGCTGGCAACTGTAAATCTCAACAATGGTAGCATGCAACTTGCAATGTTACAGCAACTACAATCATCTATGATACCACCCCCAAACCCATTTCACATGCTTTTAAAGTTTTAGCACAATCAGATAAAACTTACTCTGATTTGACCATAGATGCAAAGCATAACAAGCTGGGTGCCACAATGCTGAATAAAATCAGTGGAAACACAGACACCAGCATCTTCAATGCTTGAGCTCGTAATGACAGATTATTGGAAAAGCAGCAACAGCAAAGCCTGTACATATTATCTTATCTCTTGCATCTCATTGGATGGATTTTTTTTCTTTTTTTTGTGGTGCTTCTGTTTGGAATGGGAACGTCTTATATTTGTAATATCATTATGGAAATAAGTGCTGATGGATTTAAGCCTTATTTGCTGCATGTGTGATGGTGGGGCTATTCTATCCTCCTCATTATCAGACATGCACCTGATGCTCACTGTAAGCTGCTCCTGGAACATAGCGCAGAACCACATACAGTATATTCATTACTGACAAATATTTTATTTTATTTTATTTTAAAGTTGTAACACAAGTGACAATAACCACAAATTGTGAAAAACATACATGCACAAATATCACTTGAGACACCGCACCAAATGCCACTCTTAACCAAGAAGAAAATAAAAGGCAGACTTAAATATGATAATATTAATTTGGCTAGACCTGTGGAGTTCTGGAAGAATGTTTTATGGAGTGATGAGACAAAACTGGAATTTTTTGGACTAATGGATTAGCGGCATTTCTGGTGCAAAAAGGCAAGTTTAGGACAATAACCTAAAGCATGGCATTTTAATGTGACATTGTCACCAACAGGCCAGAGACAAGAGGAGTGCAGGTAAACAGAAGGGTTTATTGACAATGCTGTAATGGTGAGGATCGAAGGCAGGTGAGTATGAGAGATATATGAAAGTTCTTGGTTTATTAGCTTCTTGATAATCTGGGTTCTGATTGTTGCAGGAATCCTGGAGATGAACCGGGGCTGAGGAGAATCGGGATCGCGGAGACGTTATAGACCCCTGGAGGTAAGGAAACAACAGGTAAGTATGCAGGTAAGGAGTCTGGTAATGTTCGGGTAGTGAACGGTAGACCGGACACTGGAATACTGAGTGGAGTGAGAAGATATAGCGGGCTTTATTGGTGATTGCAGGGGCAGGTGATCAGAATTCGGGTGATTGGGATCTGGTCTGTGTCGGAGGAGGTGACTGTGCTGACGTGAGTGATTGTGATGATTTCCTGACAGACATGGTATAACGAGAATATGTATGGCTACCTAACATATGTTACATATATTAGTACACTGTTATATTGATGTATGATATTCATGGTATGTTGAAAGTAATTTGTCAATGCTTTTACACTTTTTAAATTTCCTTTTTAATGATCATTGGTTGAAGGGTGAATAGACGAATGTCACCTCATTGTACCCAGTTTTTGAAATGCTTATTATTAGGTTTATAGACCAAACCTTTCACTGATTGTTTACAATGTAACAGAATTTACTCCCATAATTTGTGCAAAGTGTCATGGGGCATATGAAAAACGTGAATACTTCCAAAATTACTGAACTTGGTTGAAGATTTGGTCATAGAATGTTCTTGAGTGGCCTGTAGATTAAATCTCATTAAAAACATTTGGTGGGATTCAAAAGCAAGACAACATTTTTTTTTTTTTCGAGAAACACTGAAACGTGTGTTAATAAATTTTGTATAATAGTTTACTAATGCTTTGGTTGTTTTCATTTCAACAATTCAACCAAAGCATCGAAGTACAACTGTTTAAATTAATAGTTTGCTTGGCCTCTGCTATAGCTCTCAAATTCAAATTCTCTGTGAACCTGTGGGACTTGATGTGGTTTCTTAAAGAAGTTAATGTGTGTGTGTCAGAGATCCACTGATAAAGTGCGTCAGGGTGTGTCTGATTCACAAATAGACGAGCTCTCTCTCATCGCTCTTTCACCGTGATGGGTCCAAATCAACGGATCAGAGGAGTGAAGATGCTGATGGGGGATGAGAGGAGGAGGAGGAGGAGGAGGAGGAGAGGAGGAAGTGGGAGGTGTGTGTGTAAGGAGGGATGTCCTGCAAGACTGGCGTGATCTAATCCATTTTGTGACAGACTCCTTCCGATATATAAGCACAACATTTTAACATTCCGGAATTACTTGGACTGAAGGAGAGACTCTGAGCCCAGAAACGCCTGTTACTGAAGAGCATACTTTCAAAGACACATGTAAGTAAAAAAATAAATAAAAAAAAACTCTTATTCGTTCTCGTAATTGTTCAATCAAGGAAAGATATTTGAAAATAATTTATTTTTTAATTAATTTTGTGAGGAAAGTTTTGATTACAAGTGCAAAATATGTGCAGTTTCTACCTGATCTGACCCCCAAAAATTACTTTCACTGGTGTAATAGTTGAATTACATATTTATTTTTTATGATTTGAATTTCTTTTTTTGTATTTATCATCAAGTACATTATAAGACTCAAATCATTTAGAAATTGCACTATTATATTATATTATATTATATTATATTGAATTGAATACTCTGTATCATATTATATACAGTGCCCTGTATCAGACTCGGCATGCTGCCCGCCGCCTTCACTCTGCCGGTGACTAAGTGCCTGATTGGCTCGCGCTTGGGAACGGTCGCGTTCCTGCTGCTGCTAATTCTGTCCGCCACTGAGACTTCTGCACACGGTACCACAGTCGAGCACGACCTTCATATCGTCCACAACGTCGATAACAGAAGTAAGTTTTTTCTATCCTTTTTTATCATTGTAATTTACTTGATTTATCAAGAGAATTGTAGATGCAGTGCGCAATGTCAGTGGAGCAGCTGTTAGACGTTTATGCATTTAAACATAATTCCTAATAGCCTACATTATAGAGATATTCTTATAAAGGTATTCATAATGTATTAAAATGCACTTTGTAGTCAGTTTTCTTTTCATTGTAATCACTGTCATTATATACATTAACACGAAGGCTATCTGTTCGGCTATATAAAAAGAAAATCTTGTCAAATTAACAGAAATTATCTGACACTAACAGTATTGTTGCACCTGTACAGCCTACATTATTTTATTAACCGATATAATGTTACTAAACCAACCTGCTTGAATTTCTTAAATATGCTTTGAATGTTAAAAAAAATAATGCAGATGGTAAAACAAAAGGCCATATAATGACTTGGCTAACAAACCTCTTAACACACATCATCATGAGAAATATTTACTTATAAAATATTTTACTGTAAAAGTATTGAATAAATTGAGTAAATGATGTCTAAATATGGTAGATAATGTACAGTTACCAGTTAACAGTTTTTACTGTAGTATTTTTTACCCTTCTTGTGCAGTTGTAAGCTATTTGAACTTGATTGTTACAAATTACTTTTATTAGTTAACCTGATGTAGCCAGGTTGACTTGATCATATTATTATTATTATTTACTTAAAAATGTACTTTAATAGAGTATAATACATTCTAGCACCAATAACGTGAAATATGATGTTGTTCATTTGTTTTAACACATCTGTTTTAATGCATTTTATAACTGTGCATTACGAGAACTTATCATAAAACTGATTATAAGACATAATGAATGTATTTAAATAAGGCATTATAGAGAGGCTTCACAAGATCTTTCTAGTTGTTTACCTTTTTAAAGTAATAGTAAAACTCAAATTAGTTTCATGATAGCCAACAAACAGACCAAAAATATTCGTAATATGTGCACATACACCAAATATGTACTTTGATAGTAACATTTGTCTTGATCTCTCCCAATCAGGTCCAGAGATTGACCCGTTCTGGTATGTGGGGCGCGGTGTGAGACCTATCGGGCGGTTTGGGAAGAGACAGAGTGGAGGTGGTCTGCAGCCAGTGGTCAAATCTCTGGAGATCCTGTTGAACACTCTCAGGAATAAGGAGAGCTTGAGGAGTGCGCTGGCACAGGAGGAGTCAGATTGGTTACCATGAGATCTACTACCTGCCGCGACCTACTGCTGTAATATTTAGGTGTATTAGTGTGTATAATTAATCACAGTTTTCTCATTCTTTCCCTGGCTGTGTGTCCCTCAATATTAATTTCAAATAAACTGACTGGAAAGTGAACATATCTGTACATATTACAAATGCAATCTATATTAATAAATAAATCAACAAATGTATGTTTTCCTCTTATTAGTAGTTTATTGTAATGGATTATGCAAACTACTGCTCCACAATTAAATGACAATAAAGTTGTTAAAATATAATCTACCAAAGAACACAAACATCTCAGAGTCTCTTCAGGAATGCAAACTTTATTCATATTTTTTTGAACACTGCTTGTGTCAGAACAAATTTGGCACATGAGAATTCATTGGCTTTTTCTTTTCGCTACAGAATATTTTATTTTTCCCCCGTTGACATTTTATGGTTAAAATACACAAAGGACGTTCTGAAAAGAGGCAGACTAATGCCCTTGCGGTCACAACAAACCCAAAATACACTTAAAGAGCCTACGGTATTTCATATCCATCTCGTCTTTTTGTACTTCATTCATATGTAAATATGCATTCATTTTTGTTTTGTTTTTCAAATAGAAAAAAATACATCACACTGTAAGACACTTTCAATTTCTCGACTGTGCTTTTCATGGGACTTTTTACATCTATTGGAAACGTGATACATGCTTTTATATACAAACATTTCCATAGACAACATCAAGGAGCAGGACCCATTTGAGAGCATGAAAGCTGAACAGCTATTAGAGTGATATTAGAGTGGAACGGGGAAGACAAAAGTAGGGGATGATTATGGGGTGCAATTGTAATTTCATGTCAGTTTATTCTCTATTGGCTCAAAAATTGACATTCCATACAATATATTAATGTTAACTAAATATAGTTCAGGCTTTTGTAATTTCTGTTAGCTAAAAGGGTGATTTTGTCTCTGAACACACATTGTGCATGCAGCACAGATGTCATCTTAGTCACTCGCTAAGACAATATGATGCAGTATTTGATGTCACAGCTGTAATTCTGCATGGAAATAGGTGGAGATTCCTGCTTAATAAAATGCTCAAAATGAGGACAACTCAATTATTCTTGTCAGATTTCTAATGGATGTTCACAGCTCACAGTTACTCTTAAAATCTTCCCCAGTGTCAAATTTAGGATCATGTGATTTGCACTGTGGAACAGTTTTCCATGCCAACTAGCACAACAAACATAAAGAAAATTTCTTTAAGAAAAAAAAAGTCCTGGTAGAATATGACCAGTATCTTTTCCATTACGTTTACAGATATTAGCTTCAAACCTTAAAATACAACACAATGCGATGTGTAATTCAAAATATAGGTGGTACGTAATTTTTTTTTACGGATTTTTACAGAAACATTACAGATTGTTTTAGATTGAATTTAGATGTAGACTGAATGTCCAAAATTAGTATTTTAAGTATGTACATCCAGGTGGATATATGTAATACTAAAGCAGTGCTCTGAGAAAAACAACTGGGTGTATCAGATGAATAAAAGACGTTAATTAATAAAAGAAGAATTAGAAGTCAACAAAGGCCACAACCCAAATTACCAGAGTGCTTCATACTGAGATGACAGTGATTTGATGTTCATATTCAAGAGGTCACTGGATATCTGAGGCTGATTCGAAGACAAGTATGAATACACAGGGGGGTTACGATTCATGCAAACACACTCACAAACTCATTATATGGCAAGGTGGTCGAGTGCTTTTTTTTTTTTTTAGAGACTAAATCATGAATTTCACAGTTATTTTATATGCAGTTTTGAGTACAGCGCATTAAAGAAAACTTCAAAAATGACCATTGGAAAAAGAATCCTGAGATATTTGCGACACATATGAGAATAACAGAAACATGACAATGCAAATACAACAGGTCCTGCAGATATTTTGTGTTTACTTTCACATAGACATTTCATACATTTCAATTTTTTTTACCGAATGTGCTTCAGTTTTGCAATAAAAAACAAAACAAAAAAAAAACAGGTCACATTAGTCATCCCAGTCACATTGCCGACATACAGCATACAAATTCAAACATGTACAACACTCAGTAAAACATTAGAAAAAGAGAATGAGGTGATGTCCTAGATTGTTAACATTTACCACTGTCCATCTATCTTACACATACAGTAATTACATGAGTTTAAATCTACAATTATAACCCTCTGTGATGGTTCGTTGTAGGAGTTTTATCTCCATTAAGGCAGAGAGAGAGAGAGAGAGAGAGAGAGAGAGAGAGAGAGAGAATCGGGTCCCCTGGTTACTGGAGGTGATGAGCTCCAGGGTTTGGTAGAGTCCTAGGGGTCAGAAGTGAGCTCAACCCTACATGGGTTGTGATCGGGCTTAGGGTCGACAAGTAGCATTAGGGCTGATCAAATTGGAGGACCGGAAGTTGCATCAAGGCACTGGTGTGGAACAGCCTGATGGTCCTAGCATTCACTGCAGAGTGATATTGAGCCATACAGCTTATCTGAGAATCACTGAGGTCACATGGCCTCTTGTCACAGCCTCATAGATCTCATCTGTGGCTCAGATTTGACTTCCTTTTCTGTGTGGAAGGAATTCAAAACAACTCTTAGAAAACTTGCTTTTACTTTTTTTTTTTGGGAAATCCATTTTCATAATGATATTTATGTGCAGAAGTGTTTAACACTTAGCTCTTTTAGCTATGCACAGAGATTAACTTTTGCATGATCTAATTGAACATGAATTGATTATCTTGAATAAGCTCTTTTTATAAATGTAATAGACAATAGGAGGATCAGTTTACACAAAAATGAAAATTCTTTCATCACAATGCACTTACAATAAGATACAATGATGCTAGAGTTAGCACGAACAAAAAAATAAACAATAATGAATGTTAATGTAACGTCAGTTTCTACATTGAAAGTTTGGGGGCAGTAAGAATTTATAAAAAAAGATACCTTTATTCAGCAAGGATGGATTAAATTGATCAAAAGTTACAGTGAAGATATTTATAATTTTACAAAAATGTTATATATCAAATGCTGTTCTGAACTTTCTATCAATCAAAGAATCTTGAGAAAAATGATTCATAGTTTCCACAAAAACATTAAGCAGCACAAATGTTTTCAATGTTTCTTGAGCAGCAAGTCAGCATATTAGAATGATTTCTGAAGGATCATGTGACACTTAAAGGAACACTCCACTATTTTTGCAAATAGGCTCATTTTCCAACTCCCCTAGAGTTAAACAGTTGAGAACATCAAATTTTCATTTTTGGGTGAACTATCCCTTTAACATGAACTAAGAACACACAATAGCATATCTCTAAACTACCAGTAGAATGTCTTGACAAGATATTTGAATTTGATTGAAAATACATTAAAAATGCAATTACATACAAACAATAGCTTGAGTAGATCTTTTCTATGTTTTTTCATTTCTAACATAAAATTCATTGTGGTATACTTTAGGGGTCTTAAAGTAAAAAATGTGAAGGTGACTGGTAAAATTTACTTTGGTGCAATTTCATTTAATTTAATAATTTATGACATTTATAAAAATAAATTTTCACCTTTAAAAGTACATTTGAAAATAATGATTAACAAATGTACACATTATTGGTCATATGGGACACTTTTAAAGCCCCAGCTCACTGTCTATAGGAAAGGGCAGCATAAACATTCTGCAAAACATCTTTTATGTTCCACATAAAAAGTCATCCTGGTTTGTAATTACATTAGGGTGAGTAATTAAAAACAGATTGTTCCTTTTCTGGTGAACTACCTTTAATGTCAACATATAAGCTTTCTCATGTATGGACATGAAATCTGCCCAACTGTACAAAAGAGTATTGAGAGAAAAGAGCTATCAAACAATGTTACAACATGCATCACTGACTAAAGAACCACTTCAGGCCTCATACAAGCTGTTACCGTCTCCTTCTATTGGTAGATTTGTGTCGCAAACGGCTGAACTGGAATAAGTAAGTTTGTCCTTTGAAGCTGCAGCTAATGTGAAATAAAGGAATCAAGATGAATCATGGTCATATCAATGGCCAGCCCTAAAGAGAAACCCTGTTAATTAGCAAGAAGATTAAGCAGGAGAAGATGAGGGAGGAAAAGAGATAATACTGCTGGCTGACTCTATGTTTTTTTCTCTAATGGACCCTGTTCTCTTTTCTTCTCCCAGTGTCTCTACATGGTGCATTAAGTCTTGCACCTTTTCACTGGTTGCTCATTCCACCTTTCTTTTCAAATCAAAATGTGTAATGTCACTTGGTGTGAAAACAGATTTTTTTCCCCCCTAGCTTAATGTCAGTGGAAGAAAAAAGGTGCTCTTTTCTCTGAACCACATTAAATTGTTGCCTCTGGTTGTTAGCAGGTTCAAACCACACATCACACATACAGCACACAGGGTACTGCTCCTATAAGGCATGTAGGATTTGCGCATCTTGTGATTCTGAAAATTTGACTAATTCAAGGGAGAGCATTGTAGCATCTTTAGAGATATTTAAAGATATTTAACATTAAACAATACTGGGAGGAGAATAACATTGGTTTTCAAGACCATGATTCCTCAGTCAGAGTTTGAGACTGTTGCTTTGACCTCAGACAAAATAACACTGTACCATGAAGAAGCATGATACATTAAACATTATACAGTACATCTGGGATATAGAGATACTAGACACCTATATGCACTGAATGTACATTTGAATGGCTTGAAAGCAGGTTTTGCTTTAGAAAAGCTCAACTAGACATGTAATATCAACCTTGTGAAATATTAGATTAAATATAAATTAGAACACAGCTAGAAATGTAATTATAGATTAACTATAGTTAATAGATTAACTATCACTAACTAACATTACTGAATGTCTTAAGAATTCATTTTTTTGCTAGTTTTATTTTATTTTTTATTTTTTTTAATCATTCACAGGTTTTCAGTGACTGTGGTCTTCAATAGCAGCCTGAGCTTTTCACACGTTACTAAGAACATGTCATGGAATTTCCTTAAAATATGAATACAAAAAAAAAAAAAAAAGTTTACTTTCATTTACTTTCACATCAGTGACGAAACATGAAAACCTCAGAACAAGAAACATGGCACAGCATGTTTTTACATGCTATATTCAAATTGAATACAGAAGGTCAGGGGAAGTTTTAGCAGTCTGTTCCTCACACAGCTATCATATGGCTTTAAATGATATGGATTCTAATGCACAAGTACTATGGACCACTGTTATAGTGCTTTTTTTGTCTTATTTGCTGTCTCTATTATTAAAACAAGCCCTCTATACATTCTACACTAGTTTTTAGTTGTGCTCCATGGAAAAAAGTAAGTCTAACAGGTTTAGAATGACATGAGACATAAGGATGAGATCCCTTTTAAAGTATTAAATGTCGGTATATGTGTGTTCATACCTGATGACAGACTTCTGATAGGAGGAGCAGGCAGCTTTCTCCTCTGATGGCGAGACGAGTCCAGCGTCTGGGGCTGATGCAGGAAAAACATTAACTCACTAATATTCTAAAGTCATTCACTAAATTTGAATGTGTCTTTAAAGTTCAAAAAGTGTAATGCTGACGAAACTCACCATAGGTTTAGATTTGCACTTGGAAAACCGTGTGCATGCAGATACATTTAGACCTGCAGTTTTGAGGGCTGATATTCTTGCCTCAATATCTGAGATCTGCAGAGAACAGATAAACTTCTGAATTTACACTTGAATAGTTTGATACTGTTACACCTATCAGTTAAATAGCACATTTAGGACCAGTCTGTATTATGTCACATGCAAGCGCACACCTGGAGCTCGGACTGCTGCACCTGGGCAGCAGCAGTGGCCACCTGATCTTCTAGGAAGGCCAGTTCAGTCTCTGTGGTGGAGCTGCTGATGCTGCGAGCACAGTCTTCTAAGTCACTCAGCGCCCCCTCTAGGCTGTACACAGCACCTGCAGCCAAATACACCTGCACACAGTTCACATGATCACAAAATTAGATCAGAGAGACATCAGAATGTCTCAGATTTCTCAGAATGTCCACGATTATTGTTATTTCTCAACAATGATCGTGGAACACACAACACTAGTATACATTATTTATTTAACACACATACTTATTTACATTTCAAATTTGCACATATCATACCTGTACATACAAAATTGTCTATATTATATATTGTGTTTTTGCTTTTTTTGTACATTGTCTATTTTGTATATTTGTATATTATTCTTTTTATTATCTGTGTCCTGTCTTGTCACTGTCATTCTGTTGCACTGTGGAGCTTCTGTCTCTAAAACAAATTCCTCGTATGTGAAACATACCTGGCAATAAAGCTCATTCTGATTCTTCTAATTCTGATTAAGATGAAAAGGGAGAACTGCATGACGCATAAATGTTAACACCAGGGTTTTTCAAAGTGGGGTCCAGGGAGTGTTTTAACAATTTAAGTCTCTACTCACTTTTAATCAATTTAACATATTCTTGTTGAATAAAAGTATTAATTTCTTACAAAACAAAACAAATAAAAAAAATACTGAATACAAAATACAACTTTTGAACAGAATATTTCTATTTTGAATAAGTGCTGTTTCTTTTTAACTTTTTATTCATCAAAAGAATCCTGAAAAAGTATCACAGGTCCCCCCCCCCCCCCCCAAAAAAAAAATCAGCATATTAGAATGATTTTTGAAGGATCACATGACACTGAAGACTGGTGTAATGGCTGATGAAAATGTAGCTTTGCATAATAAATTATTTTAAAGTAAATAGAAAACCATTATATTTAAATCAATAATAATATTTCACAATTTTACTGTTTTTTTTTTTCTGTATTTTTGATCAAATAAATGCAGCCTTGATGAGCATAAAAAAACTCCTAAAAAACATTTAAAATCGTATTGATCCCAAACTTTTGAACGGCAGTGTATATATATATTTCTCAATTCTTATTGTTATAAAACCAAAATATTGAAAACAAAAAAAATCTTTAATAATATGTCATCTATTGTCATATAGTGTCAATAATACACAATGTAATATAATAAAAAAATAATAAATAGCGTACCTGTTCTGTAACAATATTTATACTTTTTATGAATTTAAATATTAATATAACATTATTTTGAATTTAATTGAAAATCTTTCTCTTCAGGTTTTCTACTCCCGGGGTAGAAAACAGTGAAAGTAAATCAGATTATATTTTAATCATTTGTTTTGGCTTAGAATATTTTTCTGTAGAGCAGGTTTCAATGGTTATAATTAAAAAAAAAAAAGTATCAAAAACAACATATTAACATTCTCTATTAATAAACCTTACATTTTCCTCCATTTTAGTGAGGTGCTCGTCCAGCTTCCTGTTGCCTGGGCCTGAGGACATGGGTGTGCTAGCCGGAGAAGACTCATGACCTTTGCCTTCTGCCTCTCCAAGTAATTCTTCTGTGGCATTCAGAACCTTCAGAACCTCTGTGGTGATGCTGCATAAAGATGCAGCGGAGTACTTCTGCTCCATATACATGAGAGAACACATAAAACAGATGAAAAAAACAAAAAAAACAAAACACTGATAGATATGCAAAACTGAAGGAATTCAAATGCATATCAGGTGTTCTTGAAACATATTTCCATAAAAGCCATAAAAACATTCATTAATAAAAGAATAACAAAACATATTGAAATGTTGGGTAGATCACAACTTCCACGTAGCTACCTAAGATCTCACTCTTAATTAAGCTGGGATGTATTGCTCGTCATGCTCAACCTGTTGGATCAATGAACAGAATAAGAAGATTATGGGAGAAGAAGAGTGTGATGTGAATGCACATGGATGAAAGATGCTTCAACATCTCAGAGGTGAAAGGTCATCGTTGAGGGTGTCTTAAAGTGAGTAACACATCCATCAACATACAGTACACAAATGGAATGAAAATGAATACTCATTATTAAATCACCCTCTGTTGTTCAAAACCCATATTTACTACAATGTATTTTATCTGTGGAACATAGGAAAATTGGACAACATCCAGGTTTACTGGATGTAAACTGAATTTACAAGGACTACTTCTTTATAGAACTACTTCTATAAGAGATAACAGGTCAAGACACATTGTGCCAGAAACTCCCACTCTAACACCAGAGCGCACGTCATCATAAGGAGAAGTAAATTTGTTCTTGTCAATACGTTTTTCAAAGTGTAACAGGCATTAGAGTTCATTTAGAGTACTAAGCCATCAATATGAGATGTACATGTTGATGTGCGTGCTTGTGTTTGTAAGTAAGACAGTAAGCACACATGAGAGAGGGTAATATGATGAGATAAAATTACTTTTCAAGATGAGAGTGTGAGAATGAAAGAGACAGGAAGAAAGAGAGGAGCAGTGTGATTCAGTAATGAATACTTGAGGAATCAATTAATGGTTGGGTTGGTTTATGCTTTGATCACAGAAATAATTGATCCAAACTCAGTCCTCAGAGCATGAGTGGCTCGAGCTCTGAAAGGGTCGGTGTGTGTGTAAAATGGACCTGTATATTGAGGGAACATGTAGAAAACAGATAGGTGTACAGAGATGAATAAATCTAACACCCAATGGAAAATTTCAAGATACTCAAAGATCACATGCACACTATATTGAAATCTTAAAATCAAATAAAACAGAGCATGTTTATAACATATTGATGCTTGTCTAACAGGGGTATTTGGTAGGGAAAACTGGTGTCTTATATAGGCTAAATGTTATAGCAATAAAGACACAAATCTAATGTTCTTTAGACATGTTAGACAACAATAATTTAACACAAAATTGACAACTGTAGCATGAGATGCAACAATAAAACAATATCATAGTTTTGATTTGTTGCTGAATTGGTATTTAAATATTTTAAATTCTCTAAGTTCACTTATTTAATATTCAATATGAACTTATTTCACTTATTTTAATATGTTCAATCTAGCTGCCAAAGTTTATGTAAAACAATAACCAAAATATAGCAGATTACATCCATTTACCAACTATCATAGAATAAGTTCACTTATTTAATATTCAATATGAACTTATTTCACTTATTTTAATGTTCAATCTAGCTGCCAAAGTTTATGTAAAACAATAACCAAAATATAGCAGATTACATCCATTTACCAACTACAAGCCAACATGTCATCCAACCCTTACTGAGTGACATCTTAATTTGAATTAAATCAGCATTCTTGTGACCCATTCTACCATGTTTCATTTTATTACAAACTTTAACTATAAATTCATACATATGTTCATTGAAATTTTGATGTTTAATTCTTATAGTTGGACAAACATATGATTCAAGGTTCTACATAATATTTAGACATGTCCCATATGTACGTAACAGGTTTGCAAACAAATATGCTATCATTCAAGTTTGGGGTCAGTAACAAATGATGATCAAATGATGATGATCAAAAATGACAGACATGTACAATGTTACAAATAATTTGAAATAAATGCTGTTCTTTCAAACTTTACAGTCATCAAATAATTCAGAAAAAGTATCATGGCTTTCACAAAAATATTAAGCAGCACAATTGATTTTAACAGTGATAATAAGAAGCTAATTAGCATATTAGAATGATTTCTGAAGGATCATGTGACACTAGAAAATTGGAGTAATGGCTGCCATCACAGGAATAAATTACATTTTAAAATATATTAAAATAGAAAACAGTTCTTTTAAACAACATCAAGTTCTGCTCTCAATATCACCACCAGTAAGAGAAATCTAAAGGAAGTTTTTCCCCACTGTGTGTATCTGATTCTAACAGACTCTACAATGACATGAGCAGGTTCTGAGGCCAGAGTATGAATGGACTACATGTTTGATTCAGGAGGCATCTCTATAGCTCTACTGCGTCTTCTCATCAAGATGTATCTCACCTGCTGTAAGAGAGAGGAGAGTAACTGAAGCCTCTGCTGTAGGGCACGGTCACTCAGACCCTCCTGAACCAACAGGAAGGGGTGGAAAGAAAGAGAGAAACACAGACACAAAGAGAGAGATCGGACAGAAAGACAAATGAGAGAATAAAAGATAGAAACATACAGAAAAGGTAGTGGAAAGAAAGATACAAGAAATGAAAGACAAACAATTAAAGGTATAGATCACTCCAAAATGGAAATTCTGTCATCATTTACTCATCCTCATGCCATTCCAAACCTGTATGAATTTCATTCTTTTTTTATGGAACACATTAGAAGTCCTGAGGATTGTACTGGTTGCTGTTCTGCACTTCCAAAAGGATGCAAATGCACCACAACTGTTTCACAAATGTGGTCAATGCACCTTATGCACTATATTCAAAGTCATATGTTATTTAAAATTTTCATTATTCACTGATAATCCTCACCTTCTGTAAGCTGGATCATTAAATCAGTGAGCTGAACTCAAGGACCATAATTAGTCAGATATAAGTTTTAAGTTTTTTTTTTTTTTAATTAAAGTTCCAAAAGGGTTTTTAGCTGCAAAGAACCATTTTGGGTTCTTCAAAAAAACTTTCAGCGAACAGTTCTTAAAAGAAACTTTTTTCATCTTAATGGAACCACATTTTTAAGAGAGTCATAAAGAGCATGGATAGTCTCCAAAGTTTCTTTCTTTTTGTGTGTGTGTACACTGTGTGTTTGTGTATTGTGTATGTAATCATATTGGTTTGGAAAAGACACAAAGGTCAGTATATGATGAAATAATTGTCATTTTTGGTTTAACTATTCCTTTAATATACTGTAATGGACAAGAAGCCAGCTGGAAATGAAAAGACAGGGCCAGATGCAAGGGGAAGAGGATCCATAGAGGAAGACAGTGCTGCTCTTATTGTGTGCATTCCCTTGTCGGCATCCTATAGATGTTCTCAAAACATCTAGAGAGGTTCTATATTCATTTCTGCAGACTGGTTCATGCGTCACACATTGCCTCATGCACAATACAAATCTGAAGTGGCAACACAGAATTGGGCTTTCATCAGACGTGCTTTTCTCTGTGCGCTTGATCATGGCTTCTCATCACCAATGAGAGTGAAGATCTTCATTCTGAGTTCGATCAGTAAAATAAATGTACGTTTGAGGGTTTGAAAGAGTGCTGGAAGGATCTAGAGGAGCAGACATCTTCTCGTATAAGACACCACATAATTTACACAAGTAGGACATCAACATCCTTTGATATTCCTGGAACCACATTCAACCAATCACTAGCCTCTGGTTTTAGGTGTAGGGCTGAAATTGGTTGACAGGAATGTTGATTTAGGATCAACGATGGATATTGATCCACAAACTCATCCCACTTTTGTAATGACATTAAGTCTCAGTTTAACATCTGAGTGCAGTTTATTTTTTAGACTGGATAAAGGAAAGTTGGGCACTTGGCATTCACATCAGAGAGTGAACTGGGACTCTATTCCAATCCGCAGTGAACCACCTATATGCTCTTACAAATATACAGTTGCCTGTACCACAATCCACTGATGGCATCAAATGATAATACCCTGTTTTTTTTTTTTTTTTTAATGAAACCATACATTTGTACAATTTTACAGTGTATTTAAATGGCAGGGTACAATGGCTAAAAGCACATCTTAAGAAAATTAGTTTTTTCACTTCTTCTATAGTGTATGATTGCAGGGGGATATATATACAGTGGGTACGGAAAGTATTCAGACCCCCTTCAATTTTTCACTCTTTGTTATATTGCAGCCATTTGCTAAAATCATTTAAGTTAATTTTTTTTCCTCATTAATGTACACACAGCACCCCATATTGACAGAAAAACACAGAATCGTTGACATTTTTGCAGATTTATTAAAAAAGAAAAACTTATATATATATATATATATACTAAAATAGGGTACTACTGTATCATACACATTATTTACTATTTGATATTTATATTTAGTTTCTGTTTTAAACCTTGTACGATCTGATACACGATATATGTTTCTCTGTCTCATTCTCTCCCGGAGCTGGTCTGTAATTTATTCTTTGTAATTTATTGATTTGCATTTAAGTAAAAGTAGTTTTAGCAAATGTCAACCACTGAGTATTTTCTTTCATGAACTAATGAACTATTTTTATAGAGTCATTTTATTTCAGGATGTGGATGATTGTTCTGACATAACTCTTTACACATAGTTCCTCTGAAAAATAAAAAAAAATAAAGAATATAGAATAAAAAATAAAAACTTTTCCTTTTATTTAACATTTTTAAACTAAATGCTAAATAAAAGGAAACACTTATTTTTTATTTTAATTTTATGGTTTAATTAAACAAAACTAAGAAATGTTATTATAAAAAAATTATAATTTTATGTGTTACAAAAGGAATATTTGTTAAATGAAAACTATGAAGGGAACAGAACTGCATTTAAAATGGGCTTCCCATGTAATTTGAAGTACTTCCGGTTTAAGATCAGCCCATTTCCGGATGCAAGTTGTGTCTCATTTCAGAGGCTGCATCCTTTCAAAGATGTGAACTTAAAAGGCTTTGTCTTTGTACATGTTACATGCTAGTAATGTTTGTACTTTTTTAAAAGATAGATAGTCTCAGATAGTAATTTGTCTGAAAACAACAGGGTTCACAACCTGTCTAAATATGTTCACCTTGGTTCATTTCTGTATATAATAAAATGTATAAACTATCTATAAATTCACATCTTAGATGTCAACATTTAAACCAATTTCAAGTGTTTTGTGTCAAAAAATGTAATCTGGCACTCTCTCTCAAAAAAATCCTATTGTCACCAACATGCAATGAATCTTAGGATAGCCTGGGCTGTGAATGTTCCATCAGTTGTATGCTCCATGGCCTGGCAAACAAAGGGTGCATTTCAAGGCCGGATCTGAAGGAGCATTTGAATTGGCCGAATGCTGCCTTTGAAGGATGCAACCTCTGAATTGGGACACAGCTACAGATAGAAATAATTTTGAGATTCATACACATAGTGATACAGATAGAGATCTGCTGCACAAACCTCATTGTTACTTTTTATGCTTTAACACCTTAACTTCACTTCTGAAATCAATAAAGGCATATCTTATAATTGTTTTTGTAATGGTCTGTCATGCAATACAGTATATCTGGATCCTTTCATTGCTATAAAAATATAGAAAGCAGACTGACTGACAACACCTTACTATTTGATTTGTATTTGCCAGTTCTATTAATTTTTTTTGGTGATGGTCAATTACTAGTATGAGTCATTTCCACAATAAAAAAAATAAAAATAAAAATAAAAAAATAAAAAACTTTATGCACAATTTATGTACAGTACATTATATTACATTAGAGATGCCTTCACATTTTTTAACAAGAAAAATAAACCAAATCTATGCTTGACAAGCAACAACAAGATTCTAAGTAACTGAAGACAGAACTTTTTCGGTACTGAAGGAGTACAAGGAAATTGGTTAAGAAATAAAAATAAATGCAGCTCCCCTGTTTAGTTGTATCTCAGCAACGGGTCAAAGCAGCCAATGAGGCATCTATGTATTTATAGGTCAAAGGATATTTCCCTCAACTGCATCAGACATTTAATGAGCTTCTCACAATGCATTATAGCCTTTTTTAGGCTTGAAACATACCTTATGCAACAATGTTACACACTGTAGCATCTAAAATGTGTTAAAATTACATTCTTACTTTTGCTGCAAAAGACACTATAAGCAACTACACTACAGCAAATTCAGATTAACCAAGGCCATGGTGCAGCAACAGTCTGAAAAGAATCAAGTTGTTCAAACTGTCAATATGTTTACAGCTTTAGCTAAATAACTGTTTTGGAGTCTGGTTAGGCAGTTCACTAGAGTTTAAAACAAAGTCTAGGTGAAGTAGGAACTTTTAGTGGAACAGGCTTACCTCTGATGGAGACATTGGCTCCTCCAGACCACAGGGGGCACTGTCTGGAGACGTGGTTGAAGACCTTGTTGTCTTTGTCTCAAGTTGTGCTTGTTTTTCTGACCCTGTCTCTGAGTGGCTTCTTTGTGGTGATATTCTCTTCACCTTTTCCTCATTCTTCTTAGTTTCATCATAATCTTCCTTCAAACTCTTATTTCGCTCCAATATTCTACCTGAGGATTCCTGTTTCTCTTCCTCCTTGAATTCCATAGTCACTATAGACTCTAATTTCTCTTTTTCCATGCGTATGCTTTTCCTTTTCTTTTCTATCTCTTGCTCAATCTCTGATTGTCTCTCTTGCTCTTGTTTCAGCTGTATTTCCATTTCTCTCTGTCTTTCCTGTTTCCTCTCAACCTGGATCTCAATCTCTCGTTGTCTTTCTCTGTCCCTCTCAATTTGTTTCTCCAGCTCTCTTTGTCTCTCTCGCTCTCTCTCTACTTGTCTTTCAATTTCTTTCTGTCGCTCTCTATCTCTCTTCATTTCTCTCGCTATATTTATCTGTCTTACTGCATCACTTGTGTCCATCTCTCTAACTGTTTGTCTTTCACTCGGATTCCTAATGTCCTTCGACTTTCCTTCCCTCTTGTCTCGTTTGCTCTCACGTCTCTCCTTTGGTCTCAGTTTCTCACTTTCTTTCTCCCTTACTCTGTCCTCTTGCTTGTCGCCCACTTCCCTGATTGACTCCAAATCAGATAACATCACATCCCTCTCGTTGACTTGGCCAACCAGCTCACAGAGTTTGGATCTCAGTTCCTGTTCCAGGGTTTCATTAACAGAGGAGCCCCTGAGCAAAGGGCCCTGAATGCTTAACTCTGGTTTGCTGGCCCCCGGTTGGCTCAGCATTGGTGGGCTAGCGGCACTAGAGTTGTGAGCCACTGTGTTCTGAAAGTCAGGTTCAGGGGTCATGGCATCAGAGGTCAAAAGGTCAGGAGGGGTCACAGTGTCTGGAGTCTGGTAATTCAGGGGGACTGGGCTCTCCTGGCTCTGTTGCCGGCGCATCATCATGGCGTTGAGGAGGACGGCACTGTTCTCCTGTTAATGTGATGTGTTAAAGAGAGGGACAGTTGAGAAGAGCAGAGAGAGAGAGAGACAAATATTATTGATGAGAAAAAAATTATAATACAAAATAAAGACTTTATGACCGACATAAAGGAGTTAAAAGATATCCACACATTGTATGCCAATAAAAGCACAACTCTGTCCTGCACTGCCACCTACTGGAGTATAAACCACATTCAAATTCAAAAATGAATTCTAAACAAATTTTCTTACTTTTTGTTTTCAATGATTTTAGAATTTCTGTCTCTGTTGCTGCTACTCTTGCCAAAATTGTCATTTTCTATTTAGCATCTAAAATAATGACAAATAATGAATAACATACATTCACCTTAAAGTCAATATACTACAAAAGCAGCATGTGTGTTGTTTTTAAAGAATATCATTGGAAATGTATAGAAATGTACATTTACCATGGAAAAAAATTTGTCAATAAGTAACATTTTTAAACAGAGGAGGAGATGACAGTATTTCTCCAGGTGGAAGGAGAAGTGTACTAAATGTTTTCCACTAACAGGAAAACTCAATAATTTAAACGTAATGCCTTAAATAACACATGAAGCAAAAAAATAAATAAAAATAAAAATTACAGCAGGAAATATATTACTATTATAATAATAATATAATAATATTGTAATATTTAAAGTTGATAATAATAATCTAGGCTACATAACAATAATACAATAATCACGTTATGTGGGGTTAAAAAATCGTATAATTAAGGTATTCACTTCTAGTTAGTTTTTGCACACCTAACTGAAATATAAGCATATGTTGAGCTTTGATATGCAAGCAGCAGCAAAATGAGATGTCTTTATCATACCATAGTCCAAATCTCAACCACTATATGTGCCAAAATAATCTCATTATGATTTTTTTTGATCAACCAGAAGGCTGTAGTTCTTCTCACCGCTGTGGCAGCGCTGTAAAGCGCATTATGTGCTCGGCTGTGCTCTGGTGTCTCGCGTTTGCTCTTTCTGCGCCTCCGTGATCTTTTGACCTGCTCGCTCTGCTCCTCCCCGTCACTACTGTCCCCTCCCAGATGGGGGTTAAAGTTCACATCCAGCACCTCTGGCCTCAGTAGAGGCGAAGTGGCACTGTTTGCGGGATGTCTGTAGGGTGGATACAGGTGTGCTTCAGGCGGCCCTTTCTTCTTCTGCGTCATACCATGGGCTGGTCTGCGGGCTCGAATGGACGGGGCAGGAGACGTCTCCGAGTCTGAGTTCAGAGTCTCCGTGTTGGTGTACTGACCTGAGGAAGGTGAGGTAACGGGTGGGTGTTGGGTGTATGTCCATTCAGGGTCGTGTTGAGAGTCAGTATAGTACGTTTCATCGGAGAGACGTCTGCGAAACTGTAACAGGGCAGCCCCCCAGCCCCCCTGGTCCTCTGGATCTGAATCAGAGCCCATCTCGTCATACGCGGACACAACGCCTGATTCTTTCTCCAGCACGCTGAAAACAAGACTCTTGCGCTTGGTCAGCAGACTAGGTCGGGAATGCTGGGAGCTCTGCAGGGCGATCCAGTTACCATCAAGGGATTGCAGGACTGGAGATGCACCTGTGGAGAGAGATACAGACACCTGGACAGACAAATATAGAAGATGTGTGTGTGTGTGTGTGTGTGTGTGTGTACCACATATTCAATCACAAAATGAGAAAAAGCCAATTTTCTATGTGGGGATCATTTTCTAGGTCTCATTTTCGAGTTGAGTAGTAGTTCTAGATGTGTATTTTTTAAATACCAACCAGATGTGAAATTATTTTTGCAATTATGTTTGATAGACACTCAAAACAGAATTAAGTCACTTTTGTAGACTTAATTTGCACCCAGTCAAAATTCTGTTTTAAAGGGACAGTTCACTCAAAAAGTTTTGGTCAACAATCTTCCATCTCGCAAATAAATCAAGGTTTATTCATGTTCTATATGTAAGTTTTGTTCTAATGATGACTACGGTGTGTGTGTTGGTGTGTGTGTATGTGTATTATTACTAGAGTTGTCCAGGCGGTCAACACTCTTCCACCCAGGAAGTGATGATGCTCTGGACTCCCTCCTGAGTGAAGAGTAGTTCTGGAAAGCGGTCTCTACTTCAGTGCTGTCCGGGACCCCTGGGGCCATGCCCACCTCATGGCCCTTCTCTGGAGAATCATCACTTGTCAAAGAGAATGCTGATCTTGACTTCTAAACACATGTCCACCAACCCACATGTACAACATTAGTAATTTAAAATGATTGAAACTGTGAACCAATAATTAAAAAAATTAAAAATAATTTATTATATATTATTACTATATACGTTATTGTAAGATAAAAAAAAAATCTGTTATTTTATTTAGGAAGGATGCAATAAATTGACATTTGATATAGACATTTATAATGTTACTTTATTTATTTATTTACTTTTTGATATTTCAAAAAATGTTGTTCTTTTGAACTTTCTATTTGTCAAACAAAAAAATATATCATGGTTTACACAAAAATATTAAGCAGCACAAATGTTTTTAACATCGATAATAATAGACATTATTTGATGTTTCTTACTGTTTTTACTGTAATTTTTTATAAATAATATGCATGGAAATATACCGGTATGTCTTTGTGTAGGCAGATGGTTAATTATAGGGACATTCCATGTCAACTCAGCCAGAGGTTTCTGGCTCAAATTTGTGATTTTGCTCATATTTTTTTTGAAGAAAGATAAACATGTTTAGTGATGAAAGACAAAATATTAAATGTCATGGATGAATATTTACAGAGTAATCTGCTTTTTTGTAGCGGAGGGTCAAAATGGCAATTTTCACCTGAGATTCAGAGCCAAATTACAGGGGGCTAAAAATGACCTCAGAAAGATGGCAGCATCATAATGTTACTTTTACACAGAGATTGGTAGGTCTATTAGTAAAATCTGTTGACTTTAGCAATCTGTATAGCATTACGTGCCAATGGTGACCATTCAAAAATGAGGAAAGAGCATTTTTCAATTTTTTTCTCCAAATTTTGCAGGCCTGTAATTCAACAAGTATTAAATATATCTTAATGCCCTTTCAGATTTTAGGTCTTAACAAACTTTTCTTTTGATGTCTTCATTTTTAAGGCCCTATATTGTTCAGTTCCAGAGATATTGGAATTTCAATATGGCTCCAGGAGTAAATCGTTAAATTGTACACTTTTAAAGGTCAAAAACCAAATTTGGATCAATTTGCAAAAATATGATACTTATTTTCTTTTAAAGAGGAATGTCTGAAGAACAAATAATGTTGAAACTAGAAATGTATCTTGTTTTCTTCAGTCAAAACAACTGCATTGAACATAACTGTCCGAAGGCCACAAATATTCTTTTTCCAAAGTTTGCGTGCCTATAACTCAAGTAGTCTTAAAGATATTGCAATATGATTTTAGATTCTAGTTCTTAATAAACTTTTCTTTTGGAATCTTCATTTTCAAGGCCCTACATGATTCAGTCCCAGGGATATGGGGACCTCAATGAGGCTCCATATTCAGATAATATTCATATTCAAAAATATGAGCCAGGGAAGTTTCTCAAATTTGGTTGATGCTCCGGGGGGTGAATACAGACCTCCTGTATTGAATCGATGGGTTTTTGTAAGAAAAATATCCAATAAATCGTTAAATTGTACACTTTTAAAGGTCAAAAACCAAATTTGGATCAATTTGCAAAAATATGATACTTATTTTCTTTTAAAGAGGAATGTCTGAAGAACAAATAATGTTGAAACTAGAAATGTATCTTGTTTTCTTCAGTCAAAACAACTGCATTGAACATAACTGTCCGAAGGCCACAAATATTCTTTTTCCAAAGTTTGCGTGCCTATAACTCAAGTAGTCTTAAAGATATTGCAATATGATTTTAGATTCTAGTTCTTAATAAACTTTTCTTTTGGAATCTTCATTTTCAAGGCCTTACATCATTCAGTCCCAAAGATGGGGGGGGGATAGGTCTCAATGAGGCTCCAGATTGTTGAATATTACCCATTTTCAGTGGTCAAAAACCAAATGTTGGTCAATTTGTATACAGCCTATACTCATTTAATTGAAAGAACAATGTCTGAAGAATAAATAATGTTGAAATTAGAATTGTATCTTGTTTTTCATCTATCAAAACAATATGTATAAAACATACCTGCAGGAGTGCTAAAAATACACTGAAATGGACAAGCTGAGGCACATTACCTTTCTTTCAGTAGTCTATTCATAAGATTCTATATTTTAATCAGTTTCAGGGATATTTTGAAGAAGGGATTGTGTTCATTTTAACAGCTTCTGAAGCTACCAAGAATTCAGATATGCAGTTTTGTAACATGTTTAAAACAAATCCCATGCCTCCTAGGGAAAAGTGGCTGCTTTTGCCACACATTGCATTCACATAAATTTTCCTCATCTTGAATAATTATTAGACTTTCTTTTTCTTTTTTATTGTTATATAATGTGAAGCTTCATCAGATTAAGTAGTATCTACTGCTAAAGGGCATATTTGGCAGAATCACTGATAGTACCTCAAACCTTTAAGATCTCTCACACTTGGAATAATTAACACTGGGTAATTCTAAACCCCAGGAAAACGGGAGCCTAAGTAATAATATTTCACATTTCACACTGTTCATACTTTACATAGAGTTAACAATTAATCCTTTCTCTGGAGAATCATCACTTGTCAAAGAGAATGCTGATCTTGACTTCTAAACACATGTCCACCAACCCACATGTACAACATTAGTAATTTAAAATGATTGAAACTGTGAACCAATAATTAAAAAAATTAAAAATAATTTATTATATATTATTACTATATACGTTATTGTAAGATAAAAAAAAAATCAGTTATTTTATTTAGGAAGGATGCAATAAATTGACATTTGATATAGACATTTATAATGTTACTTTATTTATTTATTTACTTTTTGATATTTCAAAAAATGTTGTTCTTTTGAACTTTCTATTTGTCAAACAAAAAAATATATCATGGTTTACACAAAAATATTAAGCAGCACAAATGTTTTTAACATCGATAATAATAGACATTATTTGATGTTTCTTACTGTTTTTACTGTAATTTTTTATAAATAATATGCATGGAAATATACCGGTATGTCTTTGTGTAGGCAGATGGTTAATTATAGGGACATTCCATGTCAACTCAGCCAGAGGTTTCTGGCTCAAATTTGTGATTTTGCTCATATTTTTTTTGAAGAAAGATAAACATGTTTAGTGATGAAAGACAAAATATTAAATGTCATGGATGAATATTTACAGAGTAATCTGCTTTTTTGTAGCGGAGGGTCAAAATGGCAATTTTCACCTGAGATTCAGAGCCAAATTACAGGGGGCTAAAAATGACCTCAGAAAGATGGCAGCATCATAATGTTACTTTTACACAGAGATTGGTAGGTCTATTAGTAAAATCTGTTGACTTTAGCAATCTGTATAGCATTACGTGCCAATGGTGACCATTCAAAAATGAGGAAAGAGCATTTTTCAATTTTTTTCTCCAAATTTTGCAGGCCTGTAATTCAACAAGTATTAAATATATCTTAATGCCCTTTCAGATTTTAGGTCTTAACAAACTTTTCTTTTGATGTCTTCATTTTTAAGGCCCTATATTGTTCAGTTCCAGAGATATTGGAATTTCAATATGGCTCCAGGAGTAAATCGTTAAATTGTACACTTTTAAAGGTCAAAAACCAAATTTGGATCAATTTGCAAAAATATGATACTTATTTTCTTTTAAAGAGGAATGTCTGAAGAACAAATAATGTTGAAACTAGAAATGTATCTTGTTTTCTTCAGTCAAAACAACTGCATTGAACATAACTGTCCGAAGGCCACAAATATTCTTTTTCCAAAGTTTGCGTGCCTATAACTCAAGTAGTCTTAAAGATATTGCAATATGATTTTAGATTCTAGTTCTTAATAAACTTTTCTTTTGGAATCTTCATTTTCAAGGCCTTACATCATTCAGTCCCAAAGATGGGGGGGGGATAGGTCTCAATGAGGCTCCAGATTGTTGAATATTACCCATTTTCAGTGGTCAAAAACCAAATGTTGGTCAATTTGTATACAGCCTATACTCATTTAATTGAAAGAACAATGTCTGAAGAATAAATAATGTTGAAATTAGAATTGTATCTTGTTTTTCATCTATCAAAACAATATGTATAAAACATACCTGCAGGAGTGCTAAAAATACACTGAAATGGACAAGCTGAGGCACATTACCTTTCTTTCAGTAGTCTATTCATAAGATTCTATATTTTAATCAGTTTCAGGGATATTTTGAAGAAGGGATTGTGTTCATTTTAACAGCTTCTGAAGCTACCAAGAATTCAGATATGCAGTTTTGTAACATGTTTAAAACAAATCCCATGCCTCCTAGGGAAAAGTGGCTGCTTTTGCCACACATTGCATTCACATAAATTTTCCTCATCTTGAATAATTATTAGACTTTCTTTTTCTTTTTTATTGTTATATAATGTGAAGCTTCATCAGATTAAGTAGTATCTACTGCTAAAGGGCATATTTGGCAGAATCACTGATAGTAGGCTACCTCAAACATTTAAGATCTCTTACACTTGGAATAATTAACACTGGGTAATTCTAAACCCCAGGAAAACGGGAGCCTAAGTAATAATATTTCACATTTCACACTGTTCATACTTTACATAGAGTTAACAATTAATCCTGGTCATTCATAATCTGACGAATTCTTCAGATATTCTGCTTTAAATACAACTAGATAAAAAAGTTTGTCAAGACAAACTTTAGGTTGGCTTGAGAAAGCCTAGCCTATAAGTTTAAAGCAGCTGTAAAAGCTTGAGGTTTGAAAATTTAGATAAATTAGAAAATTAGCATGTTGCTAGCATGATTAGCATGCAGCTAGCATGTTGCTAATCATGTGTCTAGCATTATTAGCATGTTGTTGACATTATTAGCAAGTTGTTGATTAGCATGCAGTTAACATGTTGCTAATCATGTTTCTAGCATGATTAGCATGTAACTAGCATAATTAGCATGAAGTTAGCATGTTGCTAATCTTGTTTCTAGCATGATTAGCATGTAGTTAGCATGTTGCTAATCATGTTTCTAGCATGATTAGCATGTAACTAGCATAATTAGCATGAAGTTAGCATGTTGCTAATCATGTTCCTAGCATGAGTTACAGGCCTGCAAACTTTGGAGAAAAAACTTGAAAAGTGCTCTTTCCCCATTTTTGAACAGTCACCATTGGCACATAATGCAACAATGATTGCTAAAGTCAACAGATTTGACTAATAGACCTACCAATCTCTGTGTAAAAGTAACATTATGATGTTGCCATCTTTCTGAAGTAATTTTTAGCCCCCTGTAATTTGGCTCTGAATTTCAGGTGAAAGTTACCATTTTGACCCCCTCTACAAAAAAGCGGATTGCTCAGTAAATATTAATCTATGACATTTAATATTTTGGCTTTCGTCACTATACATGCTGAACTTTCTTCAGAAAAATATTAGCAAAATCAAAAATTTGAGTCGGGAAAGTTTCTGAAATTTGGTTGATTTGACACGGAATGACCCTATAGTAGTTTACAATAGTGTGGATATTGAGTTACTCAAAAATAGTAATTACCTGTAGTAATTATGTGATAATCATTATGTTATAATTTACACATGTCTGACAGTTTTCTGCACAAACTGTTCTTTTATGCACAATTTGCATTTGGTTGTAGTTAAAAGTTTGTTTGTAGCTGTAGGAACCAAGCAAGTTGCATTAAATGAGTTTCACCAATAGGGGGTGTTAGAGAATTGCATTTATACCTTACTGACTTATAAAAATTTCTAAAGGGAAATCACAGGAATGCAGCTATACTGAATATCACTAAAATGTGTGTGATTATTGACAAATAAGCTTTTATCAGTATTCTTCTCTCTTGTAGTACAGCCATTGCTTTTCATAGATTCCGGCATTATTGTTAACACTATGTTTTTGCATGCTGCAGCAGAAGAAATTGTGTATGTTACAGATGAGGTCAGGAATATCAAATAAGCACTGCAAAACACATAAATATTGTATTTTAGGTGCATGTTATGGTAGCTTTAACATGTTCTTACCCACAGCGGATAGGAGCTGGTACTGTCGGTCTGTGCTACTGCGCCGTGCTGAGAGGTGGAGTGTGAATGCTGCGTTGTGTGTGTGTTTTGTGTTGCGGTAGGGGAAGGAAGCTCACTACTCTGAGGCCATACAAACTCAGCCTGAATCTCAGACCGTTTTCCCCTCTGAATGATCTACAGAAAAAAGACATGGAAAAAGAAGATAAACAGACAGCTGGGTAAGAGTTGCATCCTGATTCCCAACCGCACTATACGGAATTCATATCCAAACTATATGGTGTAGTATGCAAGATTATGACTAATGTGTCTCAAACCATACCATTGTGCATTGAAAATAACATGCCAAATGTCTACAGATGGATTATCAAAGCTTTTGGGCTAATTTTCATCTTGATTTTTTTGTGCTACAGTGGAGGTTGTGACAAGATAAAGTTGACGTGTCAAGGAAACTGAGTTATATATGAACAAATTACTCACTAGATAATTCTCATCACCTAAGAATTACATGAGTGAATCTCCAGTCAAGAACATAACTAGTACATATTTCACCACAATAAGAAAAAAAATTGGAAATTGTATTTTACTTACTGAAAATAAAGCCTATGTTTAATTCTATTAAGATGTTTTTTTTTGCAGTTTTAAAATGCCAAGTCATATTCTCATTAAAGAAATGTAAAGAAAACCAATGGTATAAATTATTTAAATTGCAATCATGGTAGTATGTTTGTATTGTCTATATATAAAAACATCACTGTATGAAATTAATGTAACCCTGTTTCTTCTCCTTATTTTCTTATTTCTTTAAAATTCTTAAAATGCCCCTATTATGTATTTTTGAAAAGTACCTTTCATGCAGTGTGTAACACAGCTCTAAGTGAATGAAAACATCCTGCAAAATTTTAAATCTGAAAGTGCACCGTGTATAAAGTTATTGTCTCTCAAAAGAAAGAGTCAACTCTGAATTATTGAGACCAGTCGTTTTTAAAACGAATCCCAAGCCGTTTCATGTTGACTCCACATGAAACATTAGCATATTGCCCGCCCACTTGTTGGTCTTTTCACATTGGTCTGACTGAAAGTGCAAATTCATTCTTTGCCACTAGGTGTCGCTTTTGGAGTGGTAAAAATAGCAGTTTCCCCAGTAACGCTGTACACAAAGCAGCACTGCGCTCACAAACGCGCTTTATCAGGCATTACAGGCAAGATGAAATGAAAATGAGACCAACTGGACCAATCACCGCAGATTAGCATCACGCAAAGGAGGGGTTTGGAAAAATGAATCATTGAGCGAATCGTCTGGGAGTCGTTGAGCAAGTAAGGTAAAATAAATGCATATTATAAGACAATGAATGTGTTTTTTGACCTTGCATGCATGTCAACCTGTTGTTGGGGATTCCCAAAACCAAAATATGAACCTTTCATTACCCATAATAGGGGCACTTTAATAAATCATGGTCACATGTACTACCGTTCAAAGTTTTAGGGTCAGTAAGAGATTTCAAAATCTTTATTTGATAAAATATACCGCAGAAAGAGTAATACTGTAAATATTATAAGACATTTAAAATAAAGATTTTCTATTATAATATTAAAAGCTGATTTTTTTTTTATTACTGGAGTCTTCAGGAAGTCATGGGAAGTCGTGGCCTAATGGTTAGAGAGTCGGACTCGTAACCCAAAGGTTGCGGGTTCGAGTCTCGTACTGGCAGGGATTGTAGGTGGGGGGAGTGAATGTACAGCGCTCTCTCCCACCTTCAATACCACGACTGAGGTGCCCTTGAGCAAGGCACCGAACCCCCAACTGCTCCCCGGGCGCCGCAGCAAAAAAATGTCTGTCCACTGCTCCGGGTGTGTGTTCACGGTGTGTGTGTGTTCACTGCTGTGTGTGTGCACTTTGGATGGGATAAATGCAGAGCACTAATTCCGAGTATGGGTCACCATACTTGGCCACATGTCACGTCACTTTTTTCACTTTCAGTTTCACAGGATCTTTGAGAAATCATTTGAATATTCTGATGTGCATTTCTTTAATGTTGAAAACTGTTTTTTTTTGTGTGTGTGTGGAAACTGTGATACATTTTTCATGTTTCCTTGATGAATAGACAAGAAAAGCAAGTAGAAGTCTTTTGTAGCATTGTACTGGTAATGTCTTTGCTGTCACTTTTGATCAGTGTAATGTGTCCTTGCAGTATAAAGTATTAATTTCATAAAAAAGAAATCGTACTGACCCTGACACATTTGAAAGGTATACATGTTATTGTTATTATTATTATTATTGACCTGAACATAATTTTTGAGAAATTGCCCCTCCATCTTTTAGTATCAAGCAGAGTTATGTGAATTGGGATTCAGTCAAATTACTATACATTACAATGTATTTCTCTCTGTAACAAAAAAAGCTCTTACTTTTTGAACAATTGTTGTGGCAAGTTCCTCTATAAGTTCTTCCTTGTGGTCACGCAAATAGCGAGCCTCATTCTGTTTCTCCTGTCATATAAAAGAGAAAGAGAGGCAGCCATGAGACAGAAAAGTGCAACTGCAGTAAGATATTCATGGAACATGAGTAATGGTCGAAACTGAGAGATGGATGAGTCAACAGCATTTAAAATCTACAAAATAAAGTGATATTTGTATGCAGGAGCCTTATATGGGTGCTCAGAACAACAGATGAATGTAAGCATGAAAGCCTGATGGATAAGTGGATACTTGGATGGGTGGATGAAGGATGAACTGATGGTTTGATGAATGATATATAAAGAGGAGTCTCTAACCAGACTGTCTCTGTAGCTCTCAGCTTTAGCAACGGCTTCCTCTATCGCCTCTTCTGCCACACGTAGAGCAACGGTGAGCGTGTCTGCCATGCTGTGACCTGTATGCACATATACACAGTTACAACTCTTTATCTGTTAAATGTCTATAAAACTAGATGCAAAGTGAAAGCTACTTGTTTTTTTCTGTGGATGTGTTTGTGTTTTGTGTTTGTGTGTGTCGAGTGTTAATCTTCATAGTAATGCATGTACTGTTCAAGTACAGCAGTGATTACAGCAATTGACCAACACTCATAATCAAGAGTCATTGTTCCTCATGCCAACAGGTAACTCAGTATAACACAGGACATATTGCCAAATTTCCCTGTGTGTCTGTGTCTGTAGAGAAGGAGTTTTAAGTTTAGAGTTATCAAAGGGAAAGTTGAAATAAAGTCTTCTGTTGTCAGGCCTGATGCAAGTTCTGCGCGCATCGAAAGGCACACAAATGGTTTATATTCAGTAAATCTGACTGAATTCAGATGCTTTGAGCAGTTACAGATAGGCTTTTGGGTTTCATGTAGACTAATTACCTTGTACTATATTGTTCACGAGTTTAGGGTCAGTAACTTTTTTTTTAAAGAAATAATACTTTTATTCAGCAAGGATAAGTTGATCAAAAGTTACAGTAAATACATTTAAATGTTACAAAATATTACTATTTCAAATACATGTCGTGCTTTTAGAACTTTCTATTTCTTGGAATAGAATCTTGGAAAAACATGTATCATTATTCTACAAAAATATTAATCTGCACAACTGATTTCAACATTGATAACAATAATAAATATTTCTTAATCAGCAATATCAGAATGATTTCTGAAGGATCATGTGACACTGAAGACTGGAGTAATGGCTGCTAAAAATTAAGCTTTGCCATCACAGAAATAAATTGTTTTGAAATATATTTTTGTCTTAATATTTCATAATATTACTGCCTTTACTGTATTTTTAATCAAATAAAAGCAGCCTTGGCGAACATAAGAGACTTTATTATAAAAAACATTAAAGAATCTTACCGACCCCAAACTTTTGAATAGTATTGTAAATGTGATGATCCACCTATCAGTTAAATAAGATATAGAAATGACCAAGTCTCAATTGCCCATTTTTGATAATAATTGTATTATTTATGGCTGTTTAAAAAAAAAAAAAAAAACCTCAATAAATTGCCAAATTTATTGGCAATCTCAATTTATCGTCACTTCATGTTTGTTGCTGCTGCGTTTTGAGTTGAACAGGGTTTCTACAGACATGAACAAGTTAAATTTAAGATTTAAGACCTTTTTAATACCACATATAAAATTTAAGTCCTAAACCTGTAATGGAAATACACATTATATTACATACATATATGTAATATTTAATGTTTAACGTAAAAAGAAAACAAAATATCATCACTGTAATAAATTATATTTATTACTAATATATATATAGTGAACTTTTCATATCAGAAGACAATATTCCATGCAAAATATCCCCACAAAAGTACCGCATCACCAAGATTTTTGGTGGTGCAAACAACAAAACAAACAAAGTGTTCTATCAGCTTTTACATACTTAAATCTGCATATTTGTATTTACCTTTACAAAGGCCTTGGCTTTGTTATGAATAATTTTTGTTGTCGAAATAGTACAAAAACAGGCAATATGGTGTCTGAAACGTAAGTCTCTTAATTAACGTCTAGTTTATTGAACTGTTGTAAAAAAATCAATATCACATTTGTAATCATGGTAATTTTTGGAGAAAAAAACGGACTCTTCATGTGAAATTGATTAACTATATGAAGTGGTATAATTATATACATTTTCTGCCCCCATGTCTTGAATTTGTGATCATTCTGAATGTATTTTAATAGACCGAATCATGCAGTGATCAGGCAGAGCACTAGACTTCACGTAATGCGTGCACTCTGTAGGTGTTTTGAATGTTTGTTTTTTTTGCGTCGTGAGAATATTGAGCAAAATAGCTCACTTGTCATGGTGTTATTTAACTATATCATGTTATGAATAAAC